GGGGGGGGGGGGGGGCAACAATATTTATTTAAAATATTCAATAAGATTGTTCTCATTGATCAGCATTTTTGTGCAAATGCACCTGTGGGGCGGATTATATAAAATTGTGTCAGACCTGTAACTTTCATTCTGTGCGTACTTTTGGGAGGGTAAACTTGTCTTGTTGTAACTGGATTAGACCTTATACTTATCAGCCTCACTCTCCTCGCCACTTTACTTGAAACGGTTTTGTGTGTGTTTTAAAAATTAGTCCCATTTCACGTTCTTTCTGTTTTGCGTGTACTGTATGTACGTGTGTGTTCTCTGTTTCCGTGCACTAAGTGGTGTCTTACATACGTGTGTATTAATAGTCCTTCTGTATTTCATCATTTGTACCATACATAAATATTACTATTCAATAACTAAACTACAACTTTCTAAAGACTTTGATAAATCTTATCTGCTCTATTTTTGAAATGTTTTATTTTAAACTCATACAGTATATAAATATTTAGTAAAGATTGTGGGGATATTTTTGAGTAGGCTGTTCTAAAATGGTTTCAGACTGTTTTAAATTACAGAAAGAATGCTAAGAAAAATATTTATTCACAAAATTATTTTTGGGTCTTTTTACATTTTTTAGAAAAATAAATAAATCTGTAATTCAAACTTCATTCAAGCAGGTTTTGCTCCAGGCTGTTATGTTTAATACGTTTATTTGCCAGTTATGTGCTCTCTCTGTTAGTCTTTCTGTCCTCTCAACAATTATTTGTTTCTTCTTGCTGTCTAATCTTGCCGTTCAGCAGGCTTGACACTATATAGCTCTTGTGCCCTTTAACTTGCATATGGCAGTATTATTGAGAAATAAAACACACAATCTCAAGGTGATGATTCTAATTAAATAAAACTCTGAGAGACTGTACAGTAGACCACTGTGACCACAGGGTTTCACAGACACATGTAAGAGACATACATGAGGGCTCGGCTTATTATGTCTCGTTCTGTCTGGTCCTGCATTATAGTTTAAAATAACAACAAACAAGTACAACTGTTATCGTGACACACCCTAATTTCAAACTTTTCGTCAGCTCGGAAAATGTTTTTCTACCCTCTTATGAGTCATAATGTTGATTGCCTTCTCCCTGACTGAGTTGTCTCATTAACCCTTTGTGGCCCTCTCCATCTTTTACGGCCTTCCACAAAACCAGGATGAAATGAGGGAGAAAAACAAGCCCAGTTCTGAAGGCCCTCAATAACCTTTTATCACAATTTAGCAATAACCTGAATCAATTTGATGTCTTAAGCAATAAAATATGCTGTTGCACTCCTATTTCTGCTGCTCCTTGGATGACAGTAAATTTACATTTTTTAATTAAACTAGCCGGAATTTTTATTAGGGGGCTGGGCTATGCTAATGGGAATGTTGTGTACAGCAGATTAACAGAGTTTTGAAATAAATTTAACAGGGACACATTTGGAGGAAAAAAATGCGAGTCATTGTCTTTAACCTCTTTCATGCCGATTTCTCCTGGGGGATTCTTGTATTCTAAGGAGCCTTGTCAGGGAAGAGTGCTTCTCAGCAACGAGGTGATTAGTATCGCCTTGTCAACCGAGGAAAAACACTCACATTCTCAAGATTTAGTTTTTAAATACCCTTTTCAAATGATACCAATATGTATGATTTTTGTTATCACTTATATATTCAATTGAATATGCTGACACAATTAACATCACTCTTTGAGTTAGTTAAAAATAAGCATTTAAAGACAAAATTCATGTTTTCCTTTGTTCTTTTTTTATGTCAAAAATAAGAAATTGTGTTCAACATTTTATTTACATTTAAAAACATCCCCTCACCAAGGATTCTTCCTTTTAATTTTCCTGTCAAAATTAATTTGTTTTCTATCTTTAAATTTAGGTGTCTGATTTTACACCTAAATCCGAAAAGAACTATTAAATAAGTGTCAAATACGGTAATTAATGGCAGTGTATATGTTTGTGTAGTTTTATGGTCCGCTCTCAGTGTTTGATTGATGTTACGCGAGGCTGTGTGTGTTATGCCTGGTTTTAGCAGAGTGGCAGGGGGAGAGAAGGGGGAACATAGACAGCAGACAAGGGGAGGGAGTTGTGTGTGTGCGTGCGTGTGTATGTGTATGTGTTCGGGGGGGTAGACAGAAAGAGAGGGACAGCTGAGTCCTGATTGAGCATGTGCCCAGTCATCAGACACAAGCCACCCAGCACCATAATTACCTTAACTCCCGTCTTTTAATACCCAAATCACACCAACTGGCCTTTTTTTTTTTTTTTTTCTTTTTTTTTTTTTTTTTTTCACCGGTAGAAAGAGGAAACATTAGAGATCAAACGTTCAGATAAACTCCAGATGCACGTGGGCTGCCATGCATCTTGCCACACTAGCCAAAGTGTTCAGGGCTACTTGATATGGGCCAGGAGCAAGGCAAGTGGCATCACCACCCCCTTTCTTCAATCCTGTGCACTCATGCAGTGGCCAGCACCTAATTAAAACCTCAAAGCTCCCCGTCACCAATCTGGAGTAATGGCCTAATTAATACTCGGTGAAGAAATATTCCAGAATGATAAACAGGTTGCACCTTGGGTCTTCATTGCCTTTATTATCTAAAATATAACAGGCCAAGTTTTTTATTATCACAGATAATGCATGTTTTTTAAACTGCTCTACTAAAAATGGGGAATGTGGAAACGGTGAAATATCCTTTTTAATTATACTATCTTAAAAAGGATGGAAATGAATTATAAATTGTATCATTAATTAGAAAAAAAAAGTTTTTTATCATGTATTGTTTTCTGGGCAAAAAAATATATTGTCTCAGTGTAACGAGCCGAAAAGAAATCCTGCTTTTAATCTCACAGCTGAATATGCCGTGTCATGTATTCTTGTGTGTCAAAGAGAGCTTCTGGTAACTTTTTTTTTTTCCAACTCGATTTCCTAATCTTACATATGAAATTATAATTTCATGCAAAGTAAGGGAGAAGAATAATCTCTAGTCGTTGATATGCTATATAAGAGGGGAAAAGGGGAAAATGAAGAGGTAATTAGCAGAGTGGAAGACTTTGGTGCGTTTGTCTGAAAGCATGGTCTCCACTGGCCATGAATGAATTTGCATGCTTTGCTTATCGAAGCACACTTATTAGGCCAGCTGAAAGAGAGATTAAGCCGGCACAAAATGTGGTGACTAATCCTTTTAAATGTGGCAGGGGGTCTTTAAGGTATGAACCAGTCCGTACATAGGTTAGTGGGTATGGAATGTGACAGACCACAACTTTCATATAACTGAATGTGTGTGAATGGAAGCAGCGGATGCAGGGGTTAACTATTTAATGACAAGGACAGTGATTGACACGGGTAATAAATTGATAGTTTATCTCCTGACCCTTTTATCTCTGGAACAAATACAGCAGGTGGGGTCAGGCTGGGTTGATATAATGACGGAAACACTTTGTGTGGTCCAACATCAGTGGCTTTGTCTTGTTTTTTTTATAAATCAATAATTGTTGGGGAGTTTAGTTAATCATACATTTAAGGCAAAGGTGTAAAAATGAGCAGAGTAGACATTGAAACAAATCTGTCTTCTCACTTAACCACTGACTTTAGTGGTAGTTTCAGTTTTCTGTCACCTTTTCTTTGACAGGAATTCACCGCAGGCTGTACTGTCTTTGGCTTTATTTTTGATAGGAGGAAAGAAAAAAAAAATCAACACAAACAAACATGGAACCTCTTTTTTTCTGTCACCTTCACTGTGAGCGAGAAAATGTTTGCTCTGCCGAGTTACAGAGCCAATACCCCTGTCCTCGTCCGTAATTGACTGCAAACAGGAACGTAGTGACGTTTAAACACTGCCCTCCTCTCTCTTCTGTGTCACACACACACACACACACACACATCTTCCACACAGTCCCCAACCCGGCACCCCTCAACTTCAGGTTCCCCTTCTGCCGTGTGTTTTTTCATGTGACATTCTATTCACTTGGGTCAGTAGCAGGCAGCACCAGCAATAATTACTGTCTGTACATGATAAATCTGAAGCCCAGCTGTTCATTTCTGTCACTGCCAACAGAGACAGAAAGCGAGGAAGAAAGATAGAGAAGAGAAAGGAGAGAGGGGGAGAGAGGGGACGAGCCCAGGAGTTTGCAGTTTGCCGGATTTCTTTCTTCCTTTTTTTTTTTTTTACTTGGTAACTTGATAGGATTACATGGTTCTAGAGCCCACACCTGTTAAGAGGCTGTTAGCAGAACAGTTGGCTGTCCCGTAGCCACAGCTTAGCCT